CCCCCCCCCCCCCCCCCCCCCCCCCCCCCCTCGCTCCCCGCCCCCATCCTCCCCAACTGCTCCACCCCCATCGCCTCCGGCGCCATCACCCCCACCATCACCACCCGCATCATCACCACCTTCGCCACCAGCTTCCCCTCCTCCTGCTGCATCTGCACCCCCACCAAATGCGTCCCCACCGCCTCCATCAGGACGTTCCCCTCCTCCCCAATCTTCCCCACCACCTCCAGCAGAATCCTCACCTCCACCTACATCCACCTCAGATTCTCCACCTCCGCCAGCTGATGTACCACCACCTTCGGCCAATTCTTCACCACCCCCACCACGGGGAAAAGCACCAGAAAAATCCCCTACATCCCCCACTGGTACACCTCCTCCATCTGGTTCTAAATCTGCTCCTCCACCAGCTGATAACTCCCCCCCTGAACCCACTTTGCAATCACCACCTCCTTCAGTCCCTTCATCTTCTTCACCTCCTCTTAGTTCTCCAGCTCCACCTAGTAATTCATCAAGTCCAACTCCCTTACCACAGAAGCCAACTGCAAGGTCAACTACTAATGCCAATGCAACGGCAAATACCACATCTAGAAATACAAGCGGGTTAAACACGGGAGGAGCTGTGGCAATTGGAATTGCAGTTGGATTTCTGGTGCTCAGTCTTGTTGTTATGGCGGTTTGGTTTGCAAAGAAGCACAAGAAAAGAACTGGATCAAATCTTCGTTACACCATGCCTTCCCCCTTCGCTTCATCCCAGAATTCAGGTAACACAGTGAACATGCACAACAATAATTATTTCATTTTCTTGTTGGGTTGTTGACACTTTTAAGTATTCAAATTTGCTTCGCGGACAAGGAATTGTAGCAGCTGTTCCAAGAGAATTGGAAGAATTATAAATGTTTAATTAACCGTAAAATGCTAATTATTTGCCTTTTAATATTTTCCCAGTTGTGATTTCATTTAAAATGGACATCACATTTGAACATCCAGGAATACAAGGACTATAAGGTTTGATAGGTTATTGGTTGAGGACAAGAAGCGTCTGACACTAGTAAATAGGAACAACATTAGAACAAAAGGAAAATTACTGTAATCATAAATAGATATCTTAATCACTACTAATCACATGCTAGAATCTAAAAGCTTATTACAATAAAGCCTATTTAGATAGGTAATCCCAAAATAATAAAGTACCTAAATTATCCTAATGTTATAGAAAAACTGAATGTAATAGGGAACCTTAAAAATCCGTCCCTAAATTAGTATAAGTAGAGCCAAATAGATAAATACCTCTCTAAATTATAGTATTAGTAGAGGAAACTAAATGGAAAACTCGATTTCTATGCTCTGGCTAAAATATTCTATAAATCTTATTAAAGTCAAGCTTCTGAATTAACTAACAAGCTTTAGATGAATGCAAATGAGGTCATTTAGTTCAAACTAATGGATCTTTTTTCTGCTCTCCAGATTCAGTATTTCTGAAGCCGCATTCTCCAGCTCCGCTTGTAGGAAATGGTTCTGGTAGTGATTTCATGTATGCACAATCAGATCCTGGTGGAGTAAACAATTCAAGATCATGGTTTACGTATGAAGAACTACTCCAAGCCACAAATGGTTTTTCGACAAAGAATCTTTTGGGCGAAGGTGGATTTGGTTGTGTATACAAAGGTGTTCTGGAAGATGAAAGGGAAGTTGCTGTAAAACAG